GGTGGCCTTGGCTGTGGCTACAGAGGCCTGGGCTATGGCTACGGTGGCCTTGGCTGTGGCTACAGAGGTCTGGGCTGTGGCTACGGCTCCTGCTATGGCTGTGGCTTCCACAGACTGGGCTGTGGCTACGGCTGTGGCTCTGGCTATGGCTACTACTATTGAGGAGACCAGGGGAGACTCCCCTTCTACACCTGCACATTGGAATTCTCCACTTCCGAGCTCCATATGTTCTGAGTCTTGCTGAATACATCGGTTCTTCTAGATCTACTACACCAATCTTCCCCTTTCTGATACTTGACTTATGAAATGAACAAGCAAGTGAAATTCATCCCAACAATTCCTGGATGGTCTGTCATCAAAATGATGACTACACAGATCTTGTCTTTCATTTTTCCTGCAAAAGCCATTTCTCTATATTCCTAATAAACTTGCTCAATCTGGAACAAACCTGGTTTTCTTTTCATTACAATTGCAGTATTGGGGGGCCTTTCTCATGGTGCAGGGGTAAGCATCTCAGGGCTATCAAGCTATTGCCACTCCCCTGGTAGAATTAAAAGAAAGAGTTGTCTTATATAGGGAATATCTACTTTTAATATTTATACTTTCACTTGCTCTCACAAGTCCTTGATTTTTGACATAAAGAAAGTAGCGATCTTGTAGCCTTCAATTTTCTATCTAGGTAAAACAGTGATGATATATTTTATGAAGCTCTATTGTTAGGATTAAAGTAATGTTTGTCAATTTAGTAAATCGTTGCCTGGAAACACTCATAGTTCAAAAGCCTTTGTACCCAAATTTCATCTGTTTAAAATCCTTCAGAAGATATGAATGTTCACATGTAAGTCTCCAATTTAATCTTTGGTTTGTGCATATTTAGAGCCCAGCAGAGAAGTAGAGAACCTGAAAACTATACTGTCTACACCTAATCTTAATATCTTGAACTATCATTTATTTTTTAAGCAACATATTTTCCAACTTTCATTAAAAGTTTACATTTAGGGCCCTCCCCTGTGGCGCAGCGGGTTAAAGCACAGCACTAAGAAGCTTAAGCCACTTCTGCCTGAGTTCGATCCCCGCCTACCCCGGAGGTGACCACATGGTGAGGCAGACCTCTCCTGACCCGCCCGCTGCTCCCCTCAGCAGTG